CTTATGCAATGGGGATTAATTGGAGTAGGTGGAGAAGAATTTCTTGGCTGCTTATCAGGGGTGAGGCTCCAGGAGCTGCTTGGTGGCTTCAGATAGGTGAGAGGAGATGGGGGCACTGCCCAGCTCAGGGAAATCAGCTCCTCAAGCCCTGATAAACTTCAGCTCCTNAAGAGCCCTCCAGAAATCCTGAGCTGCAGGCTGGGATCTGCTCCTGCCCTGGGCACTCGCTGCCATTCCACCTGTCTGCCCTGGGGAAAGGTTACAGCTGACCCAAAAAAGGGATTTTTTGATTCCCTAAAGAGTTTTATTTTTTTATGGTGGGTGTAATTAAATAAGGACCCAGCTCCTAAGAGCAGCTCTTTGGCTTCATTGAGGGAGAGGGGCCACGTTCCTACAGAAAAAGAGCAAAGCTTTTCCTCAGTGGGACTTCCTGGCTCAGAGCTCCAGGCTGGAGGGGGTTGGGATTTTTTGGAGGTGCAGAAAGAGCACCTGGGCAGCTCCTGCTCTGAGGGAAATGTCTGGGTTCTAGCGAATCATTTCCTCCCAAAGAGAAACTGAAAATGTCGTAATTTGGGGAATTGTTTGCTGCAGGCACTTGCACAACCCCTGAGCTTGGCAGGGTCACGGAATCCCAGAATGGTTTGGGTGGGAAGGGACCTTCAAATGCCCCGGTGCCACCCCTGGGACACCTCCCACTGTCCCAGGCTGCTCCCGGCCTTGGACACTTCCAGGGATCCAGGTACAGCCACAACTCCTCTGGGAATTCCATCCCTCCTTCCTCACAGGGAAGAATTCCTTCCCAATATCCAGTTTAAATCTACGCTCTTTCCCCCCCACACCTTTTTTTTTTTCAGATGCTGAATAATAAATAATAATATTTTTTTCCCATTAGGCAAAGCCCCCTCGAGCTTCAGCCTCACCTGCACTTTTCCTCTGCCTGTCCCTCTCAACACTGGTTGTTTGGATGCTCTGAGCTGGGTTTTGCTGATGCTGAGGGTGTTTCTCACACTTGTCAGCCTTGTTTTTGTTTGTGGCTGCTGCAAACAGCGGTGCTGGGAACCCTGATTCATTCACAAATTATCTGGGGGGGATCAGCATGTCAAGGACTCCCGATGGCAGCAGGAAAGGAGTTTCTGGAGGGCTCTTCTGGAGCCTCTTCCACCTTCTCTGATCCTTTTGGTGATTTTTCTGCCGGAGCTGGTTTCCCAAAGATTGTGAAAACAAAGGATAGGATTTCCCTGGGGATGTGAGGAACAGTTTTGCTCCCCTGGGGATGGATTAATTGCTGGGGGGAGAAACTGGAGGCGTGCAGGGCTAGCACCTCCCTTCTTGCAGAGGGTGCCAGTGGCTCTAGAGACAAAATAAATCCTTTTCTATTAAATCCTTTTCCACAAAAACCTGGCCTGTCTTTGGAGCTGCCCTGTTGGTCACAAAGGTCCTGGAAGCACAGCAGGATGTCTGAGGGAGGCAGGGCTGTGAGTTATTTGGGGTGGTGGGAGATTCTGCGTCTCCCCATTTCCAGCTGCTCCAGGAGGGGCAGTTCCTCATGTTCCAGCAGAAGGGGAGTATTCGGATGTTGGGAATTCCTGGATAACCTGTTGGACTGACCCTCTGCTCCCCTCCCATGGGTGTGCTGCTTATTTGGGGGATGTTCCAGCTGACCCCCCTCAAATTTGGGTTCAGAGCTTGAGCCTGGCTCATGCCTTGTGCTGTTCCAACTGAACCTCCCCCAAACTGGGGTTCAGAGCTTGAGCCTGGCTCCTGTCTTTTCTTGTTCCAGCTGAACCCTCCCAAAATTAGGGTTCAGAGCTTGAGGCTGGCTCCTGCCTTGCCCAGCTGGCAGAATCTGCTGGATCCATGCAGCAATGCTGCCGATTTCCTGCTAAAAGCGTTTTATGCTCCCTTTGCGAGCCTCTGTCCCTTGAAAAACAGGTTGTACTGAGAGAAAATAAATAAAGAAACCCAAACCAAGAGGCAAACGAGGTCTGAGGGTGTTCGTGAGGTGTCAAACCAGTGCCCCTCCACCAGGATATGCAAAACAGGGAGCTGATTCCTGCTGGGAAAATAATTCTGGCTAAAATAAAACAGCACTGGAGTAATCCCAAACTTCATCCAGCAGGACAGAGCTCTTCCCGAGGAGCAGGGAACTGCCTCAACCTGACCCTGGCACTTGTGGTGATGTTTTTTTCTGCCCAAGCTGCAGCCAGGACGAGCAGGGTGCTCGTGGCTGGCCCTGCACCGCTGCCTTATGCAATGGGGATTAATTGGAGTAGGTGGAGAAGAATTTCTTGGCTGCTTATCAGGGGTGAGGCTCCAGGAGCTGCTTGGTGGCTTCAGATAGGTGAGAGGAGATGGGGGCACTGCCCAGCTCAGGGAAATCAGCTCCTCAAGCCCTGATAAACTTCAGCTCCTTCCCACAGAGCTGCTCCCAGCTCTGGGCCTCTGGCTCAGCAGGAGATCCTGGGTTTGGTTGTTCCTTGGGCTGTTTGGCCTCATAAATCCTGATTTTGGTTGTTCCTTGAGCTGTTTATCCTCCTAAATCCAGGTTTTGGTTATTCCTTGGGCAGTTTATTCTCCTAAATCCTGATTTTGGTTATTCCTTGGGCTGTTTGGCCTCTCGAATCTTGATTTTGGCTGCCCCTTGGGTTGCTGAATCCTGGTTTTATCTGCTCCTTGGGCTGTTAGTCCTGTTTTACCCAGGTTATTCCTTGGGCAATTTTTCCTGGTTTTATGGGTGGATAGTCCTGGTTTTATCTGCTCCTTGGGCTGTTAGTCCTGCTTCACCCACAGGTGATGGGTAGCTGATGCAAAGTGCAGCTTGTGTAGGCTCCTCAGGGCTGTGGGGTGAGTTTTAAACCCCTTCAGAGAGGCTCAGATGCACAAAAAAAAAAAAATCCTATTTATCCATTCTCATGGGAGAGCCCTACCCACCTTAGATCCCTTTTCCATGAAAAGCTGCCCTGCTTCTGACCAAGCTGGGGCAGCAGGCTCTCTGTAAATTGATTTTCCTGAGGGATGTGTGTGGCCCTGACAGGTACAGGAGGTGAAAGTGGGAAAAACGGGATCATCCATAGGGATGGAAATCCTTGATTTCACTTCCCAGAAACACATCAGTCCTGCACGTAAATGTCACCTGTTGCTCCTGGGGATAAACTGGGATGAGACTGGGATTTTCTGCGGAGCATCCTGAAATCCTGACCATAGCATGGGAAGGTGCAGAGACTGTGAGGGGTTGCAGGACAGCTGGATATAAAATCTGCTTTTAAATCTGAGCTAATTCAGAGCATTGCTGCTCTCCCAGGAGGATTTTCCTGAGTTTTTGGGTTCGTTTCCAGCACCATTCGGAGCTCCCAGGGAATGAGGTGCTGCAGAACAGGGAGCTTTGCACGATGGGGCCTAGGAATCTGAAATTCCAAAGAATTCCTGTGTGATTTTTAGGGTTTTTAAAGAGTATTTACTACAAATTCCATCATTTGGTTGGCCTAGACTTTAATAAACCCACCTTGGCTAGTCTCTTCCTTGGCCTCACAGAGGGGATGTGGAAGGGCTTTGGGGGCTCCAAGGTTCAAATCTTAAAGGTTTTTATGGACTGAAGGCTGAACTGCCTCCTGGCTAATTAATAAAGGGCTTGACATGGGGATCCTGCTGAGGAAGGAATCCTTCCTGCAGCTCTTGAGCTACTCCTTGGAAAAGCTTTAATTCCAGAGGTTGCTGAACACCCCTTTCCCAAGGTTTTTTTCCCAGTGTTTGTGTTTCGACGCTGAGGCTCCTCCAAGGGCCGTGTCTCCCTGGGCTGGTTTCACTCTCCTGTGCTGGAATTGCAGAATCATGGAATTACTGAGGTTGGAAAAGCCTTCCAAGGCCATCCAGCCCAACCTGTGCCCCATCCCCACCTCGTCACCAGCCCGGTGCCGCGTCTGGTGTTCCTCAGACACTTCCAGGGCTGCTGCTCCGTGACCTGACACGGTGTTTAACCCTTTCCCACATGGAGAACAGGAAGGATCTGAGGGCATTTTGCTACTTAGGATTTTCTGGGATGATCTTTCCAGGATGGCCATGGAGATTGGAGCTTTCCCAGTGCTGGTTGGGGTCCTGGGACCCCTCCTACATTGTCATTGTCAGCTCCAGGGAGCTCCAAGGAATTTTCCTGAGGGGAAAAGTTGTGAAATGAAGTGGTGGCAGTGAGGTGTGAAGCAGGTTTGGATGCCAGGAGCTCAGCTGGATTAAAATCTGTGGGAAAAAACAACAGAAATGCAGCTGGAATTCCCGGCCAGGCCCTTGGTGGGTGCAGAGCTCTGGGAGCTGAGGGGAAAACAGGGACAAGGAAGCTCCCAGGGGGACATGGGCTCTGCATTTTCTACTTTTGGGGGAATTCCTGCCTTTTCCCAGTTTTCCCAGCTTGCCCTTCTAGGAACTGTCCCAGGCTGCTGTGCAGCTGCAGGAGAGACAGGCTGGGGCAGGTGCAGGGTGTTGAAAGCAGGAGAAAATGAAAAGCATCCCTGGATTTCTTCATCCAGCCTCATTCCTTGGCCTTTCCATGGATGAAGCTAAGCAGAGGCTGCACTTCCCTCCTGCAGCAGCCTCATTCTTTGGGTTTTCCATGGAAAAATTTGATTCTTTTTGATTTTCTATGGAAAATCATAATTTGATTTCTTTTGATTTTCCAAGAGGGAAATGGAATATAGCCATTTCCCTCCTGCAGTAGCCTCATTCCTTGGGTTTTCCATGGAAAAATTTGATTCCTTTTGATTTTCCATGGAAAAAGCTGAGCAGAGGCTGCATCTCCCCCCTGCAACAGCCTCATTCCTTGGGATTTCCATGGATAAAGCTGAGCAGAGGCTCCATTTCCATCCTGCAGCAGCCTCATTCTTTGGGTTTTCCATGGAAAAATTTGTTTCCTTTTGATTTTCCATGGAAAAAGCCGAGCAGAGGTTCCATTTCCCCCCTGCAGCAGCCTGGCTGATGCGGTGGGAACGCGGACTCCATCAGCAGCACAAGTAAAAAAACCAGGATAAATCAGCTCATCCAGGGGCCATCGGAATTCCGGAATTCTGGGATTTGTTGCCTCGGCTGGGTCACCAGGGCCTGTCCCTCGTGTGCTTTGTTGCAGACACGGATGCAGAGCCTGCAGCCCGACCCCAGAGCCCGCTACAGGAGTGTGTACGAAGCTCTCAAGAAGATGGTGCTGACCGAGGGGCTCTGGAGGCCTTTACGTGGGATTAATGTCACCATGCTGGGGGCTGGCCCTGCCCACGCCTTGTACTTTGCCTGCTACGAGAAAATGAAAAAGTCTCTCAGTGATACTTTCCAGCCGGGAAGAAACAGCCACTTGGCCAATGGTATTTTTTGGGGTTTTTTCCCTAAAAAAAAACACCAAACATACCGACCCGTTTGTGGTTATCACCCTTGCTTGCTGCTCGCTCAGCCTTGGTGCACCACGCAATCTAAATTCTTATTTAATCTCAAATTATTCCAGCACAAATCAGCAATTTAGTGGGCAAAAGGTGTTCAGGTGCAGCTGGGCTGTTCCTGTATTACCATGGAATCCTTAAAGTTGGGAAAGATCTTCAGGATCAAGTCCCACATTTGAAGGTGTCACATAAAGGTGGGATCTGATGTTGAAGTCATCGCCTCAGCCTCTGGAGGTTTGAATTCAGGTGTCCCTGGGAGCACGGAGTGCACTCCATCCTCTGTGTGCTTTAATTTTTAGCAGGAATATTTCACTTTTTAACCCAGCAATAGCAGCAGAAACCCTGGAACTGGGCATCCAGGATTTTACCGAAAGGTTAGTGCAGGAAATTTAATTTTTAGCAAGAGTATTGCATTTTTAAACCCTGAAATATCAGGGGAACCCCTGGAATTGCAGCCAAGGCTTTACCAAAAGGTTTGTGCAGGAGATTTAATTTTTAGCAGGAATATTTTGCATTTAAACCCAGAAATAGAAGCAGAACCCTTGGAATTGGACATCCAGGACTTTACCAAAATGTTTGTGCAGGAGATTTAATTTTTAGCAGGAATATTTCACTTTTAAGCTCAGCAATAGCGGCAGAACCCTTGGAATTGAGCAGCCAGGACTTTGGTAAAGGGTTGTGCAGGAATTTAATTTTTAGAGGGAATATTTCACTTTTAAACTCAGCAATAGCAGCAGTACCCCTGGAACTGAGAGCCAGGGCTTTACCAAAAGGTTTGTGCAGGAAATTTAATTTTTAGCAGGAATATTGCGTTTTTAAACCCAGAAATAGAAGCAGAACCCCTAGAATTGAGCAGCCAGGGCTTTACCAAAGGGTTTGTGCAGGAGATTCCGATGATTTCTTGGGATGTGCTGGCAGGAATCTGCTGTGGGGTCCCGGAACTCAGGGCAGGGGATCCAATCCCTTCTCCTGGCTGCTCTGGGCTGGGAACACATTCCCGTGCTTACCTTTCAAGTAGCTACAGGCCTGTGGTGCCAGCAGGAGAACAGAGCTGTGGCTTCACGAGGAATGACCAGGAGTCATTTGGGCCAAAGGGAATTGGAGGTGGGAGCCAGGATCAAAGGGAAGGAGTGGCTGGAGAGCTCCGGCCCAGAGCCGGGCGCGGGATGGGTCAGGGCTGGCCGGGTTTGGCGCAGCCTGGGCAGCAAGGGTTGGGAAGCTGAGTAAAGGGATAAAATCCCTAATTAGGGATGTGCTGAGGGCAGGGTAAACATTGCTCATGGCTGGCTCAGGCGCCGCTGGTGTCTGGGCCGGAACCTTGGGAATTGGTGTTGGGAAGAGTAGAGGTGGGGGCTGGGAGTGGATCTGGGCTTCTCGCAGGGTGGGTTTCCTTGCCCTGGGATGGATGGATTCCCCCATGGATGGATTCCCCCATGGATGGGTTCCCCATAGATGGATCCCTGGTGGATGGGATCCCTGGTGGATGGATTCCCTCATGGATTGATTGTCTCATGGATGGATTCCTCATGGATGGATCCCCCTGGATGTTTGCCCCTGGCTGGATCCCCCTGGCCGGATCCCCTGGGTGGCAGTGCCAGGGTGAGCGCTGCCTTCCGAGCCAGGATTTATTTTCTCAGAGCTGTTCTTGCCTTGCAGGCATCGCTGGGAGCGTGGCCACGCTGCTCCACGACGCTGTGATGAATCCAGCTGAAGGTAATCCTGGGATTCTGGGAACTGCTGCTCCCGCTGCCCCTGCCACAGGAATCCAGGGATAAATCCCCCTTGGCTCTTCGCCCTCTGTCCATTGGGAAGAAATCTAGGGCTGGCCCCAGCTCAGAGACCTCCAAACCCCGGGGCCTCATTCCTGTGTCCCTTGGGAAGAGAAGGAGAGCAGCAGGAGGAATTTATCCCTGCATCTATCTCTGTGGTGCATTGTGGCTTTCCAGGACAGAAAAAACACTTTTCCAGTGTCCCCTTTTCCAGTGTCCCTTCACTGGTGTCCCCGCCACTGTCACCGCTCTGCTGCTCCTTGGGGCGGTGGTTCTGGTTCTCCTGAAGTTTTGGGCTAACCCAGCTGAGCTCAGGTTGGTGCACAAGCCCAACTCTGGGATTCCTGGTGAGGTGGAGTGACAGGAGAAGGCCTCAGGAAAATGTGGATGAACAGGAAAGTGCGGCTCAAAGGACAATGCTGCCACCTGCCAGCTCCTCAGGGTTGTGCTCCTGTGCAGGCCCAGAGCTGGGCATCTCTGAAGGAGAACCTGCAGCGCATCAAATCCTTTTTACTCATACCCTGTTTCAGTTAATTGCATTAATTTGCCTCATTAGTCAGTGAAGCACTGCAGCCAGTGGGGCGGGTGTGTGACACCCCCAGGTGATGCTCAGGTGGGAACTCACCTGCATCTCACCGCTGGGGCCAGGTTTGTGCATCCCCACCGAGCGTCCCTGGCCTCGTGCTGACACCCGAGGGGTCATTCATTAATCCTGAGGGGGTCATTAGAGCCAGAGGGTCATTAATTAACGCTGAGGAGGTCATTAGAACTAGAGGGTCATTAGTTAACCCTGTGGAGTTTGTTAAAACTGAAGGGTCATTAATTAAGTCTGAGGAGAGGGGTTCATTAGAACTAAGAGGTCATTAATTAAGGCTGAGGAGAAGGATTCATTAGGAAGTGAGCGCTGTGCTGTCCTCTCACTGTGCTTGAGCTCTGCGGGTGCTGGGCAGCTTGGGGGGAAGGGGAGCACGGGGCTGGGTTCACTCTGGGGCTGTGCCAGTGTCCTGAGTGGCACTGAGCGGTGTCCCTGTCCCCACAGCTGTCCTGAGCTCAGGGTGGGGCTGGGCTCACTCTGGGGCTGTGCCAGGGTCAGTGGTGAGCTCAGGGGGGCAGCTCGGGGCAGGGCTGGGCTCACTCTGGGGCTGTGCCAGTGTCCTGAGTGGCACTGAGCAGTGTCCCTGTCCCGGGCAGTGGTGAAGCAGCGGCTGCAGATGTTCAACTCTCCGTACACATCAGTGCTGGGCTGCATGCGGACAGTGCACAGGACTGAGGGCTTCAGAGCCTTCTACCGCAGCTACACCACGCAGCTGACCATGAACGTGCCCTTCCAGGCCATCCACTTCATCACCTACGAGCTCCTGCAGGAGCGCCTCAACCCTCACCGCCAGTACAACCCCCGCTCCCACATCGTGGCCGGCGCCGTGGCCGGAGCTGTGGCCGCCGCGGCCACCACGCCACTGGACGTGTGCAAGACACTGCTCAACACGCAGGAGAACATGGCCCTGAGCTCCCTAAACATCCGGGGGCACCTGTCGGGCATGGCCAACGCCTTCGGCACCGTTTACCAGCTGGGAGGCCTCCCCGGCTTCTTCAAGGGCGTCCAAGCTCGGGTCATTTACCAGATGCCCTCCACGGCCATCTCCTGGTCCGTGTATGAGTTCTTCAAGTACTTCCTCACCAAGCGCGCGCTGGAGAGAAAGCCGGCCTCGTGAGCGAGGAGCGGGAATCTCCTGTGCCCCCTCTCAGCCAGCCCATGGAATGCTGCTGGGTTCTCCTCTCCCTGCCTGGCCATTCCCGGTCACTGAGTGTGCTCAGGGATTCCCGTGGGGCTCCCCAAGGATTCCCAGTCATTGAGTGTCCCCAGGGATTCCTGGGATTCCTGGTCACTCAGTGTCCTCAGGGATTCTGGGGATTCTCAGCAATCCCGTGGTGCTCCCCAGGGATTCCCAGGATTCCCACTCACTCAGTGTCCCTGGGATTCCCAGGATTCCCGCTCACTCAGTGTCCCTGGGATTCCCAGGATTCCCACTCACTCAGTGTCCCTGGGATTCCCAGGATTCCCACTCACTCAGTGTCCTTAGGGATTCCCAGGATTCCCGCTCACTCAGTGCCCCCTTCCTTCCCTTAAACAACAAGAACAAAAAAAAGAATTTATAGAGACTTTTATATTAATATATATATATTTAATAACTTTATTTGGCAGCAGCGAAACCGCAAACTGCTTTTTCTGGGAAATAAGATGGAACCTGGAGTTTACTCCTCACTGATGGTTCAGCTTCTCCAACCTAAGCTGGTTGCTTGAAATACATTTTGGGTGGTTTACTTTTTTTTATTATTATTTTATTTTATTTTAATTTTTTATTTTTACAGCAAAGAAACAAAAATCTCCTGGCACAGAAGTGAATTTTTATATCGATATAAAATAGTTGGATAATGTTTATCCTTTATTTTTCTATGTGGGCAGCTGGCTGGGGTTTGAAAAGCTTTTAAAGCTGGGTGCAAAGGCCTTCAAAAAGGGCTCAGCTCTTCCTTCCCGTGTAAGGATGACCCAAAAATCATCGATTTTCTGGCCAGATTGGCTTTAATTACTGGGCAATTAAAGCCTGGCTCCTCCTCTGGCTCTCCAGGTCCTCAGAATTCCCGTGAGGACATGAGGAGCGGGGACGTGGCTTTTGGGGAAAACCCAAAACGGGGGGAAATTCCTGTTTTGTTCTGCTCCCCGGAGATGGGGATTTTTAGGGGATGTGATTTTGCAGTTTCTCCTTGCTGAAGGTGCCATGGGCTGTGAGGCTGCACAGCTTTCATCCTCCCAGAGTTTATTCCCCCTTTTTCCTCCCTGAGGGCCTGATCCCATTCCAGGACCTCTCCTGGGATCTCAGGGTGAGGCTGGAGCTGCTCTGATCCTGGGAAAAGGAGATCCTGGAGCTGCTGTTGTTTATAGAGTCCCTGGCAGCTCCAGAGCAGCCCAAAATCCTTGGGAAAATCCCAGGGCAGATCCAAAGGTGCCTCCCAGCCTGGGCTTGGCAAGAAACTGCTGCTCATCCCTGTCCAGGAGGGACAAAAATCCCACCTGGAGGGGGAAATCCTGGCCTGGAGGGGTAAAATCCCAACCTGGAGGAGGAAATCCTGACCTGGGGAGGGAAATCCCGACCTGGAGAAGCTCCTCATTCCCTGAGTTTGGTTTTCCTGCTTGGAATGCAAAGTGGGAAGGGTGGAAGCCTCCCTGTGTGCCCTGCTCCAGTTGGGAACAGCTTTTCCAAAGCAAATTCCATCCTTTAGCCACTCCTTTGGGAGATTAGGAGGGAATTTTGGGATCCTGGATGTGCAAATTCCAGTTCCAGGGTCCATGTTCCATTTGAATCCAGGAATAAATTCCATCCTTCCCAAAGCAAATCTCATCCTTTTGCTGCTCCTTTGGGAGATCAGCAGCCAAGGAAGGATTTTTGGGATCCAGTTCCAGGATCCTTGCGATGTTCCCATTGTCATCTCCCTGCTGGGCATCCCTGGTTGTCCCTGGGGTTCTCTGGAGCTGTCCCATCCTTTTCCCACAATTTTTGGAGCAGGAAAATCCAGGATCCCCTCTGGGGGGTGCCACGTGTGCCTTGTGGGAACGATCCCGGTGGGAAAAGAGCTTTTTCCTGACTTTTTTTGTGTCTTAACCTGAAACAATCCCTGTGCCTTAAAGCAGGAAAATCCCGCTGGATTCTCCTGGATTTGATGGGATTGGAGGTCTCAGAGCTGGGAATTTTTCTCCTTGAGAAACTGGAGAGTCGCTCCCAGAGCCAGAACTGCTCTGGGAAAATTCCCATAGAGATGGAATTTGGGGAATGTAATGCTGAAGAGACAAAATGTGGGATAATGGGAGTGATTCCAGCTCCATCCTCCTCTTCCTCTGTATTCTTCTTGGATATTTCTGCCTTGGGAGAACCTCAGCTCCTCCTTGGAGTAACCTGGGAGTAGGGACATACAAAAATCCTGGATAGGGGATGTTGGGAAGTCATTTGGGAACCCTGGGAGAGGGGGAGATCCCTGGGAACCTCCTGAGGGATGGGAACAAAAATGATCAGCTGAGATCTGTTGGGAATCTGCTCCTCCTCAGGCTGGGAGTGGGAAAATCCATTCTGGGGAAAGGATAATCTAGTTTGGGAAAAGGAAAATCCATTCTGAGAGGAGGGAAATCCTTCTGGGAGAAGGAAAATCTGCTTGGATCACCCTGGATATCCAACAAAACCAGCCCAATCCTCATAATTCCAGAGGTCTCACCGGCAGCAGGAATATTTCCAATTTTCCAACTGCTGCTGCTGGATCTGCAGGGAAAATCCCTTCCCAAATCCCCTTCCCCATCCCAAAAATCCCTGCCAAATTTGCCTTTGGAAGCTGTACTGCAATTCTGAGCTGAAATGCCTGATTTTACCTCTGTCTGTGACCCCAAATCCCTGATTTTAGCCTGGTCTATGATCCCAAATCCCTAATTTTAGCCCTGTTGGTGACCTCAAATCCCTGATTTTGGGTCTATGATCCCAAATCCCTGATTTTATCCCAGTCTCTGCCCCAATTCTGCCGCTTTGTCCACCTCAAATGCACAGAATTCTTTAAGGGAGGATGAGGAACTTTTCCAGTTTAGGTTTAAAAAACCCCAAACAACTACAACAACAACAACAAAGTGTTTTCATCGATTTCCCAGTGCAGGATCTGGGTCGGAGATGATGCTGCACTTGTGCCACTGGAGCTCCAGAAAATAAAAATATCCTGATTTTTTTGGGTCTTTTTTTTTTTGAGTTTGTGGTTGTTTTTTTCCTTGGGAATAAGGATGGGGCTGGCTCATCCCTGAGGGAATGATGCCTGCTAGCGATGCCTGAGCCCTGGGGGAGGAAAATCCATCTTGGGGAAAAAGAAAATCCTTCTGGGAGGAAGAAAATCCATTCTAGGAGGAGAAAAATTCATTTTTGGAGGAAGAAAATTCTGAGAGGAGGAAAATCTGTCCTGGGAAAGGGAAAATCCATCCTGGGAGGAGGAAAATTCATTTTGGGAGGAGGAAAATCCATCCTACAAGGAGCAAAATCCATTCTGGGAGGAGGAAAATCCATTCTAGGAAGAGAAAAAATAATTATGGGAGGAGGAAAATCCCTTTTGGGAGGAGTTTTCCAGCCTGGCAGCTCCTCCTGAGGCTCGCTCTCCTCTAGGAGCCGCTGGAGAGTTTTTCATCTCTCCTGGCCGGGAATTCCTAAGCAAATCCACGAACTGCGGCTCCTGCGGCAGCAAAAATTCCCAGATTCCCCAAAGGATTGGAGGCTTTCCTCCCTTGGAATAAGCAGGCGGGGAGGGAGCACTCTTGGCTGAGGTTTCTCTTGAATTTCCTGCAGGATTTCAAGGGAAAATGCCAGGAAATTCTGGAGCTGTTTTGGATTTTCCCGTTTTCTGGAATAAAAATGGGGAAAATCCCATTTCTTGGAGCAGTTTCTGCCCAGTGCTGGTGCTGAGCAGGGAATAATTCCCTGGAATTTGGGCTGAGCAGTATCAGGATCAGAGGGGTTCAGCTCTCCCTGAGGCAAAGGAGACCCCAAGGTGGGATCTAAAGGGAAAAAAAATGGGAATCTCCACCAAAATATTGAAATTATTAATGAAATTTTTAAACAAATAATAAAAAATATTAAAATAAAATTAAATAAATATAATTAAAATAATTAATTATAATAATTGTTATTCTATTATAATGTGGAATGAGCATTTCAGCTCCAAATGGGAAATTCCTGGCTTTTCCAGGGATTTCTGGTGCCCTGAGCAGCCTGTTCTGGGCCCCGGTGCAGCAGGAATTCCACAGCTCCTCTGGGATTTTTGGGGTGGTTTTGCCCAAATTTGGGCTTTCGGGTCTGTCCAAGCATTCCCTGGGAATGGGATCCTGACCTGGGAATGGGATCCAGCCCTGGGAGTGGGATCCTGACCTGGGAATGGGATCCTGACCTGGAAATGAGATCCTGATCTGGGAATGGGATCCAGCCCTGGGAATGGGATCCAGCCCTGGGAATGGGATCCTGACCTGGGAATGGGATCCTGTCCTGGGAATGGGATCCAGCCCTGGGAATGGGATCCTGATCTGGGAATGGGATCCTGATCTGGGAATGGGATCCAGCCCTGGGAATGGGATCCTGTCCTGGGGAATGGGATCCTGACCTGGGAATGGGATCCTGTCCTGGGAATGGGATCCAGCCCTGGGAATGGGATCCTGACCTGGGAATGGGATCCTGACCTGAGAGTGGGATCCTGACCTGGGAATGGGATCCAGCCCTGAGAGTGGGATCCTGTCCTGGGAATGGGATCCTGTCCTGGGAATGGGATCCTGACCTGGGAATGGGATCCAGCCCTGGGAGTGGGATCCTGATCTGGGAATGGGATCCTGACCTGGGAATGGGATCCAGCCCTGGGAATGGGATCCTGATCTGGGAGTGGGATCAGGGATTTGGGGTCAGACACTGCACTAAACTCTGGGGTTTGAGTCCCAGCCCAGGCTGAACTCCAGGATTTCAGCTGCCAATCCTTGGCCCTGCTCCAGAGCAGCTCCACACCTGCCGAGCCCAGCGGAAAAGGCTTTCCCTGCTCCCCAGAGGCGTTTCCAGGATGAAATCCCCTGGCCAAACATGAGTGTTTTTATTCCCTTTGTGGGAGAGGGAGGGGAAGGAACGGCCGGAAAACCTTTCATTTCCAGAGGCGTCCAAGCCAAACAGGGAGCTCGGGACGAGGAGGAGGAGGGTGGGGAGGGTGAGGTTTGTGCCCGTCAGCCCCGGGAGAAGTGGGGATAAGGACGGGATGTGGGGAGAAATCCCAGCCTGGATCCTGGATTGAGCTCAGGATTGGCCCAGGGAATTCAGGCCTGCTTCATCCCCGCAAGGCTCCAGCCTGGGATAGGGGAAAGAGTCCCTGGAAATGTCCCTGGAAAGCTCCTCCCTGGGAATGGGATCCTGATCTGGGAATGGGATTCTGCCCTGGGAATGGGATCCTGATCTGGGAATGGGATTCTGTCCTGGGAATGGGATCCAGCCCTGGGAATGGGATCCTGATCTGGGAATGAGATCTGGTCCTGGGAATAGGATCCTGCCATGGGAATGGGATTCTGCCCTGGGAATCCCAGGATCCCATTCTCCAGAGAGGATCCTTTTCTTCAAACAGGATCCCATTCCCAGGACTGAATCCCATTCCCTTTCTCCTCCTTTGGGATCCTCCTCCAGCCGCAGCACTTCTGGGAGACTCAAACAGTTCCATGGAAAACCGGACTGGCTGGAAGAGCTGGGAATATCCCTCAGGCAGCTCCGGGTGGGAAGGCAGGGCTGGAGGGGACGTGGACCTCTCTCCAAGGTTTTTCCTTTGGAAATGTGTCCCAAAAACCTCTGAATGAGAAGAATTTTTGGGAACACCGTGCCTGGTAGGTGCCTCTTGGAAATCCTGGAATCAGCATTGGGAAAAGCCCTCGGTGGGAGCAAGAACTGGGAGGATCTGGCTCCAGAGGCATCCAGTGGGAAAATCCCAGGAGTCTCTCTTGTGTCCTTGCTGTCCCTGGCAGCTCCTGGAGCGGAAGGAGAACCAGACTCCCCCGGAATAATCCCAGGGATGCGGCTCTCCCTGGAGCAAAGGGGACCCCAGCAGGGAGACCCAGAGGGGAAAAAGATGGGAATTTCAGCTGGAATGTTTCCATTGTGAAATCCCCAGCATGGAGGGAAGGTTTGGGTCCCAGGTGGGAAATATTCCTGTCTTTTTTCCTCCTTTTTTTCCCTTTCCTTTGTGGAATTCTGCCTGGGTGGTTGCGCCACCTGGATTCTCCCCTTATTCCCTAAATCCATTGGCTGGAGGAAGCACCAGGTGGACTCAAAAACTTGGGATGTGATTCATGGTCCTTCCCTGGTGCTGCAGCTGGATTGGGAAGAGATGAGGAGTTCCCATGGATAACACGGATAACAATGGGAATAACCAATACTGAAAAGCCTCGAGGGATCTGGAGAGCTTCAAATCCCTGTGTAATCATGGAATGGCTTGGCTTGGAGAGACCCTAAGGCTCATACCAATCCCATGGGACACTTTCCCTTATCCCAGGGTGCTCCAAGCGCTTCCAGGGCTGGGGTGTCCTCATGGCTCAGCTTCCCTTGCTCCTGGGAACATCCCTGCATCCCAAAGGATCCATCCTCATTCCTGAGGGCTTTCCCTCTCTCCTCCCGGACAATCCCTCATCCCAGGGGTGTCCTTGCCCTTCCCGCCCCTCTCCGGCTCCGTGCCCCAAACCTATTCCTGCTGCTCTGCCAACTCTGCAGCTGGAGCTTTACTTGGCTTCAATCCCAGGATTTTTGCCAGGAATGTGGTTCAGGGCATGCAAATGTTGCTCAGCATTTCCATTATCCACAGGCAGCCTCCTCCCTCCCTCTTCCATTTTTTTGGGGGCAGCTTCTTTTATCCTTGCCAGAAATGATTTGGCCCTGAGCAGGGGCAGTGTTGTGCCAGGATAATCCTGAGGATCAGGATGGATATAAATGATGTTTTTTCCCTTCCCACTTGGACACAAATGGGAATTCAGCTTCCTTAGGGCTGGTGGGACCCCCTTGGCTCTGGAGTCAGGTGTGGGATTTTCCCAGTTCCCATTAATCACAGGGATATTTATCCCCCGGGAATGATTGATGCCTTCCCGCTCTCCAAGGATTTGCTTTTCAAACAGCTCAGCCCCTTTTTTTATTTGTCCTGGGAAAACAAAGGGAAAAGCAACTGGAAAAGTGATGGATGTCCATAAAAACCCCCCTGGGGTGGGAGGGGAGGAGGGAGGGCAGGGCTGAAGCAGCCCAAGGACTCCAGAATGGATCCAGAGCTGCTGCCCCATCCCTGCTCCAGCCAGGCTCATCCCAGAGTTTTTTTTGGCAGGATCCCACCTGCACTTTGCAGTTTGGCAGAGGGATTTGGGCAGCAGCCGGATTTGGGAGCAAGAGATGCTCAGCAGGATCATCCTGGCAGGGATAACCCAGCGGGAGATCCCAAATCCAACCTGGGAGTCCCTGCCCTGGACAAATCCCCCTTGGAGAGGAGCTTTTCCCACCCTGAGCAATGGGATCAGGGCCTGGAGGCTGGGTTGGGCTCCATTCCCATTTTCCCATTGAATTCCTGCTTTGGAGCTTTTTTGGGGAGGGTTTTTTTCCTCATTTACCAGAATGGAAACTTAAACTGTGAATAAGGCAGGGATTGGAGCTCATTTTCCATCCGGGAGGACAAAAAACCCCAACTCTGGGATAAAACCACCAGCCCTGGGATAAAAACCCCAAATCCAGGATAAAACCCCCAAACCTGGGATAAGAACCCCTAAACCTGTGGCAAAAAAAACCCCTAAACTAGAGATAAAAACGCCAAAGCTGGGATAAAAACCGCTAAACTAAGGATAGAAACCCCAAACATGGGACAGAAAACCCAAAACTGGGATAAAACCCCCAAAGCTGGGACAAAACCCCCAAACCTGGGACAAAAAACCCCAGTGCCAGGATAAAAACCTAAAGCTGGGATAAAACCACCAAACCCTGGGATGAAAACCCCCAAATCTGGGATAAAATCCCCCAAAGCCAGGATAACCCCAAAGCTGGGATAAAAACCCAAAACCTGGGATAAAAACCCCAAAGCTGGGATAAAAACCCAAAACCTGGGATAAAAAAAACCCAAATCTGGGATATAAACCCTCGGAAGCAGCTCATTCTGAGCACAGACCCTGTAGTTTTTATTCCAAAGGATCCCAGAGCAGCAGGAGAGGAAACGGGACCAAAGCCAAGGACAAATCCAGAACCAGCTCCTGGATCTGGAGCTCAAGTGGGAGATTTGGGGTTAGAAACCCCCAGCAGGAAAAAAAATCAGCTGTGACAGCGACATTTTCCCAAAGAAGCGTCCAAGAAATTCAGTTTAGTTCTCATTTTGGTTTTGATTTGATTGCCAGCTTTGATCTCATTCGTAATATAAATTTTATTCTCAGTTTAGATTCAATTTTCAGTTTAGATCTCAGTTTTAGTTTCATCTCAATTTTGGTTTTGATTTGATTCTCAGTTGAGATTTTTCCAGTTTAGATCTCATTTTTAGTTAAAGCTCATTTCCAGTTTTGATCTCATTTTCAGCTTAGATTTTATTTCCAGTTCAAGATCCCATTTCCAGTTCAGATCTCATTTCTAGTTTAGATTTAATTTCCAGTTTAGATTTAATTTCCAGTTCAGATCCCATTTCCAGTTCACATCTTCCAGTTTAGATTTTTCCAATTTCCAGTTCAGAACTCATTCCCAGCTCAGATCCCATTCCCAGTTCAGATCCCTTTTCCAGTTTAGATTTAATTTCCAGTTTAGATCCCGTTTCCAGCTCAGATCCCATTCCCAGTTTAGATTTAATTTCCAGTTCAGATCCCATTCCCAGTTCAGATCCCTTTTCCAGTTTAGATTTAATTTCTAGTTCAGAACTCATTCCCAGCTCAGATCCCATTCCCAGTTTAGATTTAATTCCCAGTTCAGATCCCGTTCCCAGCTCAGATCCCATTCCCAGTTCAGATCCCATTCCCAGCTCAGATCCCATTCCCAGTTCAGATCCCATTCCCAGTTCAGATCCCATTCCCAGCTCAGATCCCATTCCCAGTTTAGATTTAATTTCCAGCTCAGATCCCATTCCCAGTTCAGATCCCATTCCCAGCTCAGATCCCATTCCCAGTTCAGATTTAATTCCCAGTTCAGATCCCATTCCCAGCTCAGATCCCATTCCCAGTTCAGATCCCATTCCCAGTTCAGATCCTATTCCCAGTTTAGATTTAATTCCCAGTTCAGATCCCATTCCCAGCTCAGATCCCATTCCCAGTTCAGATCCCATTCCCAGTTCAGATCCCATTCCCAGTTCAGATCCCATTCCCAGCTCAGATCCCATTCCCAGTTCAGATCCCATTCCCAGTTTAGATCCCATTCCCAGTTCATTCTCCTTTTCCCAGCCCTTCCCATTCCCACTCCAGGCCGTGCCCTGTGGGAAGCTCCGAGCTCTTTCCCGGCGGTTTTGGGTTAAATTCTGTGCCTGGATTCCAGCGGCATCCCGAGGCTCTGGGAGTGAAATCCTTGGGATTTGGGCAGGAGGCGCCCTCGGGGGTGGGGGCATTCCCAGCTTTGAGGTGGAGAAAGGGATTTTTGTTGCTGGATAAGAGCAGGGATGGGAACATTTTGCAACAGCGGAGAGGAGCTGTCCTTCCCTGCTGGAATTCGGGATCCTCGGCAGCTCTGGGACACCAACGGAGCTGGAGATAGCAAAAGTTACTTTGAGACAATTCCAAAGCCATGGCTCGGCCTCCAGAGCAGAGGAATTCTGATATAATTCTGATACAGAGAGAAAAATCCCTGACTCCCGAGTCTGCCTGTGCTCCACTCCCTCTCCTCCCTTCCCTGGAATTTTCCCCTGGAATTTTTGCTTCCTCTTTGCCCTGGAGCTCGAAGGATTCACGAAGCAGAAGAGAAATCCCGAAAAATCCTGTGGGAAAGAGAACAATCCGGGCAAATTCCCATTCTTTATTGTCTGCCTTTCCCTGCTCCAGGAGGGAATGGGAGCGCCGAGAATTTCACGGGAAGAGCAGGAATCGGAGGAACATTCCTGGAGCTTCCCAGGGAAGAAACCTGGGGTGGATTTTCATTCCAGGAGATGAAATCTGCTCCAGCAGAGCTTTGCTGAATTACTCCAGCTGAGAAAATCCATTAAAATGAATTTAAGGAAATATTCAGGAAATATTTAGGGAAATATTCCTTAATATCCAATATTAAGGATATTTTCCATCTAAAAAGGGAAACAATAAAGGAAATCTCCTTTATTCCCACACTTTTCTCATGGAATTTATGACAATTTCAGTATAATTCATTTAAAAAGTTACATTTTTGGTATTCTCTAAGTGCAAATGGGATTTTTTCCCCCTAAAAAACAACTCGTTTGGATCATCCTGGCGTTGTTCTGGTGACCCAGCTCCGGGAATTGCGCTGATCAATGGAATTCTGGCTTGGAAAAATCCGGCTTCAAGCCCTAAATTCCAGTCTCAGCCCGGATTTGCTGCTCTGCAGCTCGGGCAGGGCCAACACCCGGATATGCAAAACTCGTCTGTCACTGCCATTGTCCCCAGGGGTGGCACCTCCAGCACCTCCGGGATCTGGGCACTTCCAGGGATGGGAATTCCCTGGGAATTCCCGCAGCCTTGCAATCCAACACTGAATTAAATGGAATTTTAAGGTCAAATTTTAGGTTTTTGGCGGCCCGGAGAGGTTTGTGCTGGCTCTGAAAATCCCACAAACAGCCCAGATTTAAGGGAAAAATGATATTTTCCAACGAAAAACGCAGTTTTTACCAGAAGGGGGTGCAGCCACCCGGGATTTGGGATTTTCAGGGATGAGGCAGGCACGGATTCCCTGGGAATTCCTGAAGCATTGCAATAAAATAAATGAAATACTATTAAAATTTGGGAGTTTTCCTTTGGTTCTTTCAGTGTTAATGAGGAGTGAATTTTATGCTGCCGCTGAAATCCCTCTGGATTGAAGGAAAAACCAGATATTTCCCACCTAAAAAATACATTTCTACCCAGCCACTCAAGAATTCCAGGTGCCCTCAGCTCCAAACCTCATCCAGCCTGGATTTGGGCACTTCCAGGGATGGAGCAGCCACAAATTCCCTGGGAATTCCCAGAGCGATCAAATTTGCAATTAATTGAATGCAATTAATTAATTGTTATTAAAATTTGTGGCTTTTTTTTTGTTATTCCAGTGTTAGTGAGGAGTGAATTTTGACCTGCCAATTCCTCTGCTCTGAATTTAAGAAAAAACTGGATTTTTTCCTCCCAAAAAAGCCGTTTCTACCAGGAATGACTCCAGGAATTCCCATAATAAAGCCAAGGCAGGTAAGACCAGGTGTCCTCAGCTCCAAACCTCATCCAACCTGGATTTTCCAGGGATGGAGCAGCCATGGATTCCCTGGGAACTCCCAGAGTGATCAAATTTGGGGCCTTTTCCCATTCTTTCAATGGTAGGAAGGAATTTGATGCTGCCACTACAAAACGCTGCCAGTGAAATCCCTCCCCTCTGGAAATAAGGAAAAACCGGACATTTCCCACCTAAAAAAACCCATTTCTACCAGGAGGGGCTCCAGGAATTGACGTAGTACAGGCAGGGCAGGTAAGGCCAGGCTCCCCTGAGCGACAGCAAGGACATTCCTGGGAATTCTGGCGGATCCTGGTGCGAGTCCAAGCGGCTCATCCCGGTCACCACCTGTTTCCTCTTGGTCTTGTACCTCCTGTTCTGGAACCAGATCTTCACCTGGGTCTCGGTGAGCTGCAGGTGCCGCGCCAGGTGCGCTCTCTCCGGGGCTGACAGGTATTTCTGGTGGCTGAATTTCCGCTCCAGTTCGATCACCTGGCTGTGGGAAAAGGCGGCTCGGGAACGTTTTCCCTGCCTGGGAGGCTGTGGGTGCACAGTGGAGGTGCAGCCGGACAGGAACGGCTCCATGGGCGCGTCTGGGAAGGGAAGAATTGGGAATGAACCGCAGGGAAAAATCCTCGCGCCGAGAAAAATTCCCGCTCTGGGAGAAAAAAAGTTCTTGCTGGGGAAACATTCCTGATTGGAAATTACCAGAATCGCTTGGTTTTCCCCCTTAGAGAGAGGGGAAAGTTCCCATTTTCTTGGGAATGTTGTAATTTAATGGTGTGGGAGTCAAACGGGGGAGTTTTGTCTTCCTAAATCACAGGGTTTAATTCACATCCTTCTGAATTCCATAGGAACTGAGATCCAAGGGGTGGATGGGAATAGGGATTGGGATCGGGATCAGGATAGGAATAAAAATAGGGATTGGGATTGGGATGGGAATAGGGATAGGATAGAAATAATATCCCAAATAAAATAGGATAGGATGGAATAATATCTCAAATAAAATAGAATAGGATAAAATCCCCAAAAAGGGATATTTTCCAGTGCAGTGGAGGCCTCCCTAAATCCCAAGGTTCTGTTGTTATGTCCAAAATGCCATCAAAGGGATTTTTTGGCAAGATCCGTATCAAGTCCTGCTTTGGAGTGTCCTGCCGTGACTGGGGGAAAACCAGAATTCCCAAAGGAAATAAATCCTCAGGCTCCTCAATCCTGCAGGGAAGGGCTAGTGGGAAGTGGGAGTAGCTCAGGGCAGACTGCATTCCCAGATGCTGGAGAGCATCGGGAATGAATCCTTCCCTTTTCCATCCCAGAACTCCAAGGCAATGCCAAGCGATTTTAGGGCACTTTTAACCCTTTACATCTCAAACTTCAGACCTGGCCTTAGATCTCCGACTAATTCCTGATGGATCACTGGAGTCAGGAGCCAGGAAGGTTCTGAGCTCCCAGGAAATCTCACCCATAACAGCTCAAACCCCTCAGTTAAATTTATTTTTGGAATTAATCCCTCTTTGTGCATTATCCGGATGGAAATCGGCCAATTCTTTGCACTTCTGGTCATTTCTCAGTTTATTTTCTTAAGGTGTGAGTAGAAGATCAAGGGCAAAAAACCCAAGGGATTGAATTCCCAGCTTTGTTGGTTGTCCCTGAAATCTTGGAGTTTTCAGGTAGAAATTTCTGTTCATAGGATTGGGCTGTAAAGCCAAAATTCCCCTGGTGGAGCTGTCCTGTGTCCCGCTGGGATTTGGGGATGCTGCTCCTCCCGTTCTGGGCAGCCCCTTCCCAAGGTGCCTTTTCTGGGATTAAAGGGAATGTTTTTCCCAAGCTTTTGTGGAAATGCATCCAGTGGGTTTTTAGGGAATGTTTTAGGCAGACTCCAAGCTTGGGGTCCTTCAGGCACCGGGGGAAGATTTGAACTCTCTGAATTCCTTCTGCTCCCCCTCGGATTCTCCTGGATCTTAATCCGATCTCTGGCTCCAGCAGCTGGGTCTGGATCCTGCCCCTCGACTGACCTGAGCTCAGACATTCCTGATCCATTCCTGATCATTCCTGATCATTCCTGAGCCATTCTTGATCATTCCTGACCCATTCCTGATCATTCCCAATCCATTCCTGATCATTCCTGATTCATTCTTGATTCATTCTTGATCCATTCCTGATCATTCCTGATCATTCCTGAGCCATTCCCTATCCTAAACACAAACATTCCCAATACATTTTTGATCCATTCCTGATCTACTCCTGACCCAAGAACGGACTGTCCTGATCCATCCCCGATCCATTCCTGATCCATCCCTGATCCATCCCTGATCCATTCCAAATCCATTCCCTGTCCCAAGCACAGCTATCCCTGATCCATTCCCGATCCATCCCCGATCCATCCCCAATCCATTCCCAGTCCATCTCTGATCCATCCCTGATCCATTCCCAATCCATCCCTGATCCATCCCTGATCCATTCCCAATCCATCCCTGATCCATCCCTGATCCATTCCAAATCCATTCCCTGTCCCAAGCACAGCTATCCCTGATCCATCCCTGATCCATTCCCAATCCATCCCTGATCCATCCCCAATCCATTCCCAATCCATCCCTGATCCATTCCCAATCCATCCCTGATCCATCCCTGATCCATCCCCGATCCATCCCTGATGCATCCCCGATCCATCCCCGATCCATCCCTGATGCATCCCCGATCCATTCCTGCTCC